TTGCAAAGTAAGCCTAAATAATTAAGGAGTGAATAGTAGGTTTATTCGCACTCATCTATTTAGGGACTTTTATCTAGATACCTCTCCCAAGCCGTTCACACGTCAATAAACGGTTTACCTAGCTTCAGCTATCATGCAGTCAGATTCTCTCCAAGCTATGCCAACATATTCCTTGTTCCGAAGTGTCGTCACCTCTTCCAAACGTCTCAGCTTGTTCTTTCTTGTCTCCCGTTGCTAACTAATTTAATATTACTGACTTTAATTCACTACCTTGGAGCTCAGATATATTTAAGTATATATGTGTCGTCTGCATCATCTCTCATACCTAGCAAACATATGACTTCGCGTTGCGGTAAATATTTTAATAATCCATAGTATCTTAAATAGATGAAAATATCGTAATATCTGAGTTATTTTCTGCATTTTAATACACTGTTGCTTCTGGATTTGTGTCTGCTTATTTTAACAACAACAAAGTACTTGACTACAGTGATAAATTTATGTATCACGAAAGCTTCGTCGAAGTTAGCTAACAATATCTAACAATATAAAGTTTTATTAGACTGTCTTAACCTCTGTCATCTGCAGCTCAAGATAATGTTATAAGCCCTCATGGTTCGTTGATATGTACACATTGTTTTACAGAATAATATTAGAAAGTGTCCTCATTAAAACTGACCAGACTGTTTGGTTTCTATGATCAGGGTCTTTCTGGTTTTGGTGTAACAGCTACATAGTATCAGTTAATGTACATATAGCAAAATTAATGTACGAAGCCTCAAATTCTAAGTAAATATCTGGGGGACACTTTGATCTAGCCAAATAGCTTTTGAAACTGGAAACTTTATGGGTCTTAACATAGTATTTTTTCTGTTTCTGGTTCGAATAGGTACTAAGTGGTTAGCCTGATAAATTCACATGCCTGACATCTAAACAACAGTAGCTTAGGAGCTAGAAAACGTCCTAATCGAACCACTAACCCTCACACTTAGAGTGCAACTTGTACCCAAGTACCTGGTAAATGAGTTTACGTGTCACTGAGTTTATAAGTGGTAACGAGTAGTGGATAAGAATTGTGATTTTTGAATAAAAGAACTAATTTGACCATTGTGATTAATGTATGTAATTTCATCCATTTATGTACCACAAATGCCAAATGGATTAATTATAGGATGATCAATTATTCTAGGTATAACTATAGGGTTCTTTGGCACAGGTTTACAATTTGTGACTAGTTATTGAAAAAGTTTTTTCTACTGCAATTACTTCAACTTTAGTTTCTGAATATATAGTTGATACTTTTCCATATGGCTTTTCGACAGCCACTGGCTGGAAAACGCTATTTCGGCAAGTGGCATCTGTAGGGAACAATTTCCTACAGGTTTAATTCTGAGCTATTCTCTAGACCGTCGAATACAGAGTCTTGGTTTGGCCAAAGTCAGAACAAGCAAGCTATTTGGCTAAATAGAATTTATCTGTTTCTAAAACATAAATTAACATCGTTAGTGTACAAACAAACTGTACGGTCTATTAATACAGGGAAAAAACAGACAAATAACATACTGAAGAGTAGCCAGAGAATAGGAAGAATGAGTCAACAAGCAAATATTGTTTTACAATGAACATTAAACTGTGATTGGTTAATAAAGAGATACAGTCGTACAAGGTCAAAAGGAGTTAATGTGGTGGTGGGCGTTTCCCTTTATTATTGGTGGGTTCGTCTATCGATCACATTTTACAGCATCTTTATAAACCAAGCTGAAACTAAATGATTTCACATGAAGCTTATCCCCTTCATAGTTTCTCTCATTAGATGTCGCACCAAGTTGCTTTTGTTTTCCACTACACTGCATTTGATATTTTCCCACATTTTCAGGTGATAAAAACTCAGAAGAACAAGTTTATTGCAAAACTGTAGAATGGGCTCCTACGTTTGGCGGCGCTTTCGCTCTATTTTCGTCTGGTCATATAGCTTTGTTTGTATCACTTGGTGCTGTTGCAAATCAAACGGTTCGTGTGATAAATTAACTTGAAATTACTAAATGTGACTTCACTTTTGGATAACTTTATATATCGATAAGGAGCTTGCTGTTAATTTTATTTATTTGAGCACATAAATATTGGTACAAGAGGGGCATCAGATATATATGCGCTACACAAAACAATGAGAATGGGAAGAGAAAAAGAAGGTAAGGTGCATATAAGAAAAAAAAACAATAACGACCACAGATTAGTGTGTGTTACTGTAATAATAATAATGGTGAAAACGGAAAGGTGCAACCAGAAGAATTCTTTCAGTTAAGGAAGTTACAACCACATTTTTATGAAGAGAGTAAAAAAAGGTTGCAGCAGGATCGCCACTGGCTTCTATTCTGAGCCATATCTGATAACGTCTCTAGCCACTGTGTTGCACCATCTCTCGGACCCCAACCAGAGAGTTGTGAAGGACCAACAGAAGCCAGTCCTTTTCAGCTTTCTTTCATACCACGAAACCATGTCATACACTGACCACCCCCAAGCATCCCTTTAGTTATGCTACTTCAGGATTTAGTTGAATCTAATCCGACAAGATTTGGTTAATTGATATCTAGATATTGAGCGAGGCAGTACAGATGTGGTGGTTATATTGCAAATAGTCTCATAGCTCAGGGCGTTTGCTGTAATGGTTGCAGTTATGAAGCATCGATGCGATATATATATTTTTAGTGTCCCATATTCGTTTTTCAAAGACATTAATAGGAATGCGAGAAACCAACCATACCCAGTCAGTCTTTGATCCTGGAGATGATCTTTCATCCACATAGGCTGTAGTTCATTTGGCTGATGTCAATCTTATCTCGAACATTTAAAGTGCTTTGGGCTAATTGTTTTCACGATACAGTGGTGGTAATTTGCATACTATGATCAAAAAGTTAGTCCAGGATCTTTATATATTTAGACTAGTGAAGTATTACACTCGATCCTTTAAATGGGACTCACAGTTTTACGTCGGACTTTCGAAGTTTCTTTTACATCGGAAGTTCCCGTACTAAATGTGTAGGAAAATTCATCTTGAACGCATGGACGTATCGCTTGTGTTATAATTTTCTGTTTGGTTTTTATCGTAACACATGTAAGTAAGTTAGTCTGCAGCTATATTCAGTAGAGTAAACATAAATACAACAAATAATTCCTATCGTGAAATATTAAACTGGGACTCAGAAATGTATTTTTGTAGTGAATTTGCAGCAATTATTAGTTGATAAAAAAACTAAACAAAAAGGCTGCAAGAAGAGGGTTTGGAAAGTAAGGTAAGTGAGAAGGAAAGATAAACACGTATCATAACAATCGACCTGCGAATACTGTTGTCTCATCCAAACATCCTATCGACGAAGAACACGATTTAAATAAGGTAGGATAATGTTTTCACTTCTGGTCACAAAACAAGTTCCCCTAACATTCGAAGTGGCCCAAGCACTTTCCAAATATCTAGTAAAATAAGTATTTATTCATATGCGTATCTCGAATATCCTTTAGAAAATTGACTGTTATTTGAAAACTTAACCCCAATAACTTGTAAGGAACACTCAGTCGAAAGATTTAGAGAAACAAGAAATTGCTTCTAAATGGTTATTGTTTAGCTCAAATGCATTTTTAATTATTTTAATTTCCTTCTGTACTACTCGCGTTAAGATATTTTGAGACAGAAATTGAGTGTTGGTGAATTGTGTTTGTTATCAGTACATTTTCCTGCTTCAGTTTGGGCTGCCTGACAGTGTCCCAGCCCTCACACAAATCATTTGATTAGTTTGATATATATATATATATATATATATATATATATATATATTAGGTGCCTCCTTGTACCGATGCTTATATGATAAAATAAATTTTCTGAGTTTTGGACTTTCGCCATAAATTCAAAGCATTAGAACACCATCTCTAAAAAATAGAATCGTTTTCGTAATGACAACTCGTTTAAAATATGGTTAAAGTAATCCCCACCACTGACTTCTTTACAATAAATTGGGATTTTTAATGTCATTTCTATCATTCGGGTTGTTGTAGGATAAGATAGAGTACCTCAAATCTAGATGATTTAGAAACGTATTGCTTCGTTGATTCGAATTTTCATAAACCAGCTACATCGTTCTCTATGTATAGATTTCCTACCCTGTTGAACTGAGGATTTGGCGAAAGCCATTACCCTAGTATCAGAGGTTACCACAATAATGATTGTACAGAGAATGAAAGGGTAACGAGTGACCTTTTCAAATTCATCTGCAGGTTGCTTACTAATGCGCCACTATGCTATTTGGCATATGTTTGAGGTAAGAGATATTCCGAAGTAAGCATGGTATACCAGTTGGTCGGAGTAATTGTGTATGGCTTTAAGTTTGTTTATGGAGATTGTGTAATTCAGTTTGGTGGACGTTTTTATTTATCCCTTTCCATTTATACACTGCAAAATGCGTTCACATTAATGTCCCCAATTTATTTTTATCTCGACTTTATGTAAAAAAGATTGTAATCCTTGGATTTAATTACTTCAATCCTGCTCAATTTGTACCAAGTGTTCAGACGATAGTATACATAAATAAATGTTTCAACATTCATTTGAATTCTGCACTATCATCTAGTCTGTGTTTATTCCTAATATTTTGATATTGTCCAGACTCTATGTTTTTGAATTTTTAGGATATTGAAGTAATCTTGGTCGAAAACGTCGGTCATCCAACATGTACGGCTGTAAATAATCGCTTTCGGACACTAGCTGTTGGAACTGAAAGGCAGGATTTTTTTTTCTATGTACATCTCAGACCTATAGATTCATTTGATATGCTACATTACTTACCGTGAATTGATATATATATATATATATATATATATCGTATTAATCAAACTCGTTTTTTAGTAAAAAAGAATGGTACCACATTCTTTGTATCCACTTACTTGTCAGTTAGATTAAACCTGGATTTTGTATAATCACCTTGATGAGTTTGATCCTTTTTCTGTTTAGTGATACTTTCAAGTTTGAAAATTATTTCGCGATATGCAACACACTTATGATGTTGTGTCTTACGACTTTTTAAAGTGTTTTGATATTTGAACATTGAGACATTACTGTTCTTGTCTTCTGGTGGGGTTTTCTGTATAAGTGTCTCGCGAAACATTGAGAAACGTGTAGAAATTTATTCATGAAGTGGGTTCAATGTGAATAGGATCGGGACTTGTGATTGCAAATATACAATAAATGGAATGTGGCTAGTAGTGTAGTCCAGGGTTGATGTTCATTTCGGGACTCCGATCCAATACCGTTAGCTTCAAACGCTACCGCGTTATCCAGTTAGCTACTGATTACAGTTAGCCACTCACTCGTACAATGGCTACGAGTTTTAATTCAATTTGAAATGATTTTTGACTATCCCGTTGTGAATATTTTTACTAAAATTGGTTCAATCTTGGTTGGCATATACGGGCCTTGTTCAGATTGCCTCGAAATAGCCATTATGACAAATTAATATGGAAAGTGGACGGCATTCATGCGTCACAGCTATCTGGTCATGGAGTTTTTCAAAGCATTGTCGATGTATCATGAAAAAGTTCAGGTGCTAATGCTGAGGTCAAATATAGACGATTAGGCGAAAATGACCATGCGGTTGATATTGTTGTGAATCTTCGTGGACTAAAGTATACGGGACATGTATTACATGTGCTTAAACACATTCTCCGATGCAATGTTTTTCGGTGTCGAAGTAGGTTGGAGCAAAGCTAGGCATATTCTGACCAGAACATGGGATTAATCTCTGAATGTTAATGTAGACCGTGCTCATGTATTGTTATGTCCCGATAGGCATAATGAATAGTAACTTTTGTGATCCATTTTTGGATCAATATTATACGTACATTTTTATCGTGTAATTGTTGAGTAACTAAACTATTCATATTCATGTCCCTCTTATCATGAGCTTTATTTTGACCTGTGAACTATTATTATACGATTTACCATTCTTGAATTATACCCTGTCTATTAATCACTACCTCCCACGTTCGCAGCCACGTCTGGCTAATTCTTTTACAAACGTTGTTTCATATTTTATTGGTACGATGTGGTTTGTCTGATTGGTGTATAAACCCCGTATGTTTGAAATATATGATTCATATTACAGAGGCTCGGATTGGTGTTCTGGACTTAACTGACTGGGCTAAACAGGAAGCGGGACCAATAAGGACTCTAGACTGCTCATACGCGTTTACGCATCATTGATCCGATCAATAAGTCACTGCTCTCTAATTGGAGGTATCGTTACGTTATACATTAACAAGGCACGCAGTCCATAGGTTATAACATGGGTCCAAACCGCCTGGCGGAGGTCAACGTGATTATCATGACCAGTAATTGGAGAGTGAGTGACATGGCTCTGAACCAGTTTCAGTTATCCAGAAGCATACACTCTTTATCTTCTCTTGGATTATATGTTTTATTTTGTAAATTCTCGAATAATATTCTTTATACTTTATCCTCTAATACCTCTTATACTTCCACTTCATCTTCATGTCGTGACTTAGTGTCGCAATGGACATATGCACCATAACTGACTGGCTGGTTATCTTTATTTCCTTCATTCATCGAAAATTTTCTAAGTGGGCAAAGAATCAATTAGTGATAAGTACGCTTGAAATAACAACCTACTCATTTTAAAAGTGTCGAATAAGACTAATATTTTTTCTTTTTGCAGCAACGAAGTTTTGTTGTACAAGATGGATGAAACTTCTGGTGTTCTTAAAATTAAAAATACTCTTCGTATATCTGGTCGGGAATCATCTTGTTAGTTTCCATTTCAATAATCTTCCAAAACTATGTGTATAAATGTTTTACGATATTTATCTGGTAAACTTCCAACAAATAGTTTAGCATTTTTTCAAACGATACATCGTCATGCAGATTAGGAAGTTGAACTGAGCCAACTTACTTTCTCATAATTGTCACACATTCACAGCAGATTTTTTGCTTTTCATCTTAGATACTACCGAGGAAGTAGGTCCTGTTTCAGAGATTTCTTGGTCACCGGATGGATACACTTTGGCTGTTGTTTGGTTACGTTCGGGTTGGTCGTTGTGGTCAGTTTTTGGTGCATTATTATACACCAGCTTAAGTGAGCATCTTAGTCAATTTGGTAAAATAAATGTTTCAAACCTCGTGAGTATTGTGAAACTTTGTTCACTTTTATCTTTGATATCAAATCAATTCATTGTCGGTTCCTTTATTTGTACAGTTGATTCATTCTTCTTCAAACCACATATGGCGTAACTGTTCATTCAAATTTTAATGTGTATTTGAAAATAGTCTTACTACCAGCAGTCATCAGCTCGAGAACGGTTGAAAACCAAGGAACAGCATACAGTTATGTTCACATCAGAATAGCGCATCCGATGTCGAACAAATTCAGGAAACTATCTTGGCTTCTTAGGATATTTTTATATGAATTATTATGAATAACTAAACGCTTTTATAATGAATAGTCATCAGCTTAGGTTTAAAAACTAATTCAAGGAAACAATTCAACAACAAAGGCCAACTCAGGACCGATCAGTACTAAAATAGTCGGTGTATTATGACAGGGCGGATGAAAAATGCGTCGACCAATCAAATAGAAGAGGATTGTACAATAAAGTTTCATTTATTTATGTGTATTTAGGAATCCCTAGTCTGACTATGTTATCGGACAATAGTTGTACACATTAGTTTTGTTTGCCTCATGTTTTGTTACCCAGTGGTACAAATTAACTTTTGTGTCATAAATCAAATACAATAAAAGCATCAATTTGTGAAGTAACATAAAAAAGTGAGCCGACATGATGATACCGGTATTCTCTTTAAATAAATAAATATGTATATATACATACATGTATATATATGATTTATGTTATGACTTGCTTTTAGTCCTGGGCTCATCATGGTTATAATATAGTCGGTTTGTTAACCTTAAGCAACGTGACAGAAATTTCCGGGGTCGCAAACACTGACTCCTTTGTTTCAGAGAAGGTCTCCACCAAAGATACTACAAAAGTAGAGAAGTCACAATTTATTTCCGATGGTCTGGGCTGTCCTTCACAAAACTCTTCATACCTGGTTGTCTTCCATCTGGCTAGGTCTTCAATAACAGCTAACCCAACATCAGTAAGTATAAATAATGTTTTGCTTTCACATTCAAATAATTATTATCAATTGGTTTTACTAAAGCATATGGATTCTCATCATCTTAACTTTTCATTTGTGTATATTTTTTAACTCTGACTCTATAGCTAGTGCTATACAGATAGAAAATTTCAGTGAGTGCCGAGGATACGAATTTCCGAAATATGTAATTTTGGATAAGGTTTAACATCGGCTTTCTCAAAAAAATCTATCTAAATGTTAAATTGCTCTCTCGTTAGTTTTAAACTGACATATGTGTATGTGAAAAAAGTGAAATAACTTGTCAATGAAAATGAGTACTATAACACTAACTACTTTTAATTTCACGTAAGTTTCAGTCCATTTAGCTGTTTAAGATCTTCATCACTAAATATCTAACGTCTGATATCTAGGGATTTAGAGTTTTTGTCTAAATGCGAGGTTTCTTAATCATAAGTCTTTCTGATTTTGTTCTAATTGTAGAAAGATCTATTGAATACCTTGTTGAAACTCCTAAGCAAAATGTTTCTTAGACCATACCAAAACATAGTTTTTCAAAGATGGGGACTCATTATCCAGCGCTGTTGTAAAAAATGTTGATGGTGAACTATTTTCGTCGAGTTATCTTAAATTGTATGATGCATATACTTTAAGTTGTTTCCATATTAGTATATTCAAAGCTCAGATCAGCCGTTGCTGCTATCTTAACGTGGTGGTCGGGTTTGCTTACAGCGATGACTACTGAGCTATGTTGGTTAGAACATATGTTCTTTTAAGTCTTACCATAACGAGGAGATCAGTTAGAGAAGAGTAAAACTAAAAATGCCAACTAACAAATTCGAGAAAAACAAACTGATTTCAGACGTGAACGTGGACGTATAGACTAAATATAAACCCTTCGGTAGATTCTGGAACATAATCATTTCCATATCCGACTGTGGTTGTATTCCTCGATCATAAGGTGACATTCGACTGCATTATTTGTGAGGCTCTGTGGCAGTGTTTGTCATTGAAAGGCGTACCAGAGAAGGACATTAATATTGTTCAGGCTCTTTACTAGAACACTTCTGATCGTGACAGAGCTTATGGCTAACTATCATCGAAATTGTTTACTTCAAGTGCTGTTCGTCAAAGTTGTCCGTTCTCTTCACTTTTATATAACTTTGTCATAGATATGCTTTTAGAGATGACACTCGTCGTCTGACTTTTGAGGGGTTGGTCTGCCGTGAAATTGATTTGTTGACTCAAGTTGATGTAGTTCTGTTTGATGAAGACGCTGGCAAAATACAGTCATTTGACCATCTTAAGCAACAATGCAAGCATGTTTGGTATGCGGTTCTCTCCCTCCGAATTTATAATTTTACCTCAGGATTGGCTTGCGTCATCGCTTGAATTGATAATAAGGAGTGAAGTAGTTGAACGCATCGACCGCACCACTTATATTGGGAGTCTCATCAGTACTGACGGTATCATGTCTGGCGAAATTTCGGCACAAATTTAAGAGGCTCGATAGACTTTTGTCAACTTGCATCATTTGCGGCGTGAGATAGTCGTCTGCCAACCAAGGGGAGAGTTTACTGTGCAGCAGTTCTCTCTGTCCTACTTTATGGGTATGGAACATAACCATTAAGAATAGAGGATATTCGTGGACTACTAATATTCGATCACAGGTGTCTTCGAAGTATCCCACCGAGTAAGCAATGCCTGAATGGAACATTGAAGTAGGTCCCCCGACTCTAGCTGAAGTTAAGAAAGCTTTAGCTAATCTGAAACAAGGAACAGCAGCTGGTCCAGATGGATTGGCTCCAGAGGTCTTTAAGGATGGTGGTCCGATTTTAGCTATTAGGTTGACTAATATTTTAGCTAAAATCTGGGAATTAGACGTTATCCCATCTGACTAGTCACAATCACTTATCGTCCCACTATATAAGAAAGGGTCAAAATCGTCCTCTGATAACAATAGAGGGATTAGTTTAACTAATATAGCATCTCAAATACTAGCCTCAATAATTATCGGACGCCTAACTAAGACTCGTGAACTGCAAACATGAGAAAATCAGGCTGACTTCAGACCTGGTCGTGGCTGCATCGACCACAGATTCACCATTCGTCAGGTTCTACAACACAGACATGCCTATCGGCGTCCGACAATGGTGGTCTTTCTTGACCTAAAAGCAGCATTTGACGCCGTAGACCGCGAGATTTTGTGGCAGTGTCTGTCATTGAAAGGCGTGCCCCAGAAGTACATAAACCTTGTGGAGGCTCTTTACTCGAACACTACTAATCGAGTGAGAGCTTATGGCGAACTGTCATCTGCTTTTGCAACCTTAAGTGGTGTCCTTCAAGACTGTCCACTATTTCCATTTTTGTTCAACTTCATCATAAACCTACTGATGGAAACAACATTCTCGTCGACTGAATTTTTGGGCATTGATCTCCTACCAGGGGGTCCACTTATCAAATTAGAATACGCAGATGATATAGTTCTGTTTGATGAAGATGCTGATAAAATGCAGAGTCTTTTGGTAGCACTAAGCAACAATGCCAGAATGTTTGGAATGCACTTCTCTCCCTCTAAATGAAAGTTGTTGCTTCAGGACTGGTCTGCGTCAACACCTGAACTAAGGATAGGGAGTGAAGTAGTCGAACGCGTTGGCAACTTCACTTATCTTGGAAGTCTGATCAACCCTAATGGGCTGGTATCGGACGAAATCTCAGCACGGATTCGAAAAGCTCGTTTGGCTTTTGCCAACTTACGTCACCTATGGCGAAGGCGAGATATCCATCTATCAATAAAAGGACGAGTATACTGCGCGTCATTTCGTTCTGTTCTACTTTACGGCTGCGAAACGTGGCCACTAAAAGTGGAAGTTATTCTTAAGCTACTAGTATTTGACCACAGGTGTCTTATAAATATTTCACACATCTGCTGGGATCATCCGGTAAGTAGTAGTGAGGTTAGACACAGGGTGCTAGGGAGTGATGGCAAGTCAGTCGATGAGGTTGTGAGTCTTCATCGACTGAGATGGTTGGGCCACGTGTTGCGTATCCATGAACACCGATTACCACGACGCATCAATGCTGACTAGTGTAGAGGATGGCTAGAAGAAAGTTATCGGCGGCCAAACCAAAACGTGGCATCAATGCTTGAAGTCACTAACTTCTAGTCTGAGCCATGTTGGTAAATGCAAACTACTTGGTTGGGGTCCGCGTGACTATCAAAACCAATGGTTGGAGACTCTGGTTGACATGACTCAGAATCGATCACAATGATGTATACATTCTCTATATTCCCTTAAACTATGAGATTAAAATCACTTCATATCTTGCTTACTACGAACTAATTCTTCCTTCCTGTACTAAGTCCTTATATGCAATCTTTCTTTTGTATATTACCACCACTGAATTAACCACTTTATGAATTCAGTGTTCATCTTGTTGTGCTAATAAGTTATGGCAACTTTAACCGATGCATATATGTGCCTGGTCCTACGTTGTAGCTGACTGAGCAATGCTTGGATTAGGAATATGGCACTAGATAAGGATGGAGAGTCAATTGATGGAGTAGTAAATCTTCATCAGCTGAGGTGGTGGTGGTTTACTAAGCTTTTTAATGAACTCAGGCTTACTCTGCGTAAGAGAAAAGGTGCGAAATATGAGAATATCGCTCTTCTCTAAGGTTTATTTTTGTACAGAAGAGTTAGGGTATCTATAGCATTTCAGACGGCCTTGGGTTTCTGGAAGGTCCTAGCACCCTACTAAACATTGTAACAAGATAGGTAGCCATCCAATCAGTAATGTGACACGTGACTCTTCACTTTCTAGATGTTTCTCGGAAACTTCTATCGAATGCTGATTGAACGAAAAAGTCTCCCAGCGTTTTCATGGTCCCTCTGAGCTTCTTTTCGAGAAATATTCTGGATTTACCCAGTCCGTCATCTACAACGTAGGAACAGGCACATATATTCATCGGTCCAAGTTGCCATACCTTATTAGCACACGCGGCCTAACCATCTCAGTCGATGAAGATTTATAACCTCATCAACTGATTTACCACCATTTCCTAGTACCCTGCGTCTCACCTCACTATTACTTACCCGATGATCCCAGCTTATGCGAGCAATATTTCTAAGACATCTGTGGTCAAATATTAGTGGCTTACGAGTATCTCCCCAACTGTTGGGAAATATGATACGTATCCCTAACCACCACGTACCCCAACGGGTGATATTTTCTGGTGTAGGATTAGGTTGAACGGAAACTAGTAATGGCCAAATCAAATCTTCTCTTGGATCTTAATTTTTTAAATTTTTAGTAATATTTTTATTTCACATATTTATAATTCGTTAAATGATATTGTTATGTGTCCTACTTATACGGACAGATATCAGTAGTATGTGTCAGTTATTCGTGGTAGAATTCTTACTTACGGAAGAGGAAAATGAAGAGAAGTGAAAGGAAAACAAAGTAAGTGAAATAACAACAGGAGTGGAAGAACTATGCAGTTTGAAAGGTGCAGTTTAAGGAATACTTGCTAATAGTGTATTCAATGAATCCTTTTCATATTTTACAAAGAAACCGTAATTTTGCCCTACCCAAGTCTTTGTGGATAATAATATCTTCGATGCCCAATCTTTTATATTACCAAAAGTGGTGTTACTACCTGTATTACTATGGGATTAGCTCTAACCATTTCGTCTCCCTGTGCTAGACAGGAGGAATAAAATTCACAGCGACCTAAACACGTACTAAGTTCTACGTTGCGTTTGACTGACGGGTTGACTTCATAGTTAGTATCAGAAACACATTCCTTCTTTCCAAAATACTAATTTATCTAATTGTCGAAAATATTGGAAAGTATCTTGTTTATGTTAATACACCACTAACATTTGCGGAGTTTTCTATGTGGAATCAAACTCGATAGTGTGCATAATTTATTGTTATCATTGTGACCCACATAGTGTCTCATGCAGGTGGGGAAGGTAGTATGGTAATTTTATCATCAAACGTTCTCTGCTTAAAAACCACTCATATTTATCATTACTTATTTCTTCATTTAGGTTTTAATTCACGATGATGATACCCACTTTGACTGCAAATTAATGCATTTGGTATGGTGACGTTGAGTCATGTTTTCAAGTGTCGTCTGTTAAATCAGCTGGAAAAAAAGGAGGTATACAAAGCAACGGATCATTAAATAATGTGAAACAATCTTTCAAACATCAGTAGAATGTTGCGTAATGATTAAGTTGTTTAAGAAGAATATGAGTATAAAAATAGTGTATGGGTCAGAAATATGGGCGATAATTGTCCAATTAACAGAAAGAAAAAAACAAAGGTCATAATAACAATCTATCAATAATAGTAATAAAATGTTAGAGAATAATAACTGATTACGGTTTAAGGAGTAAAAAATGGTACTGAGAACCACAATATACTGGGCAAGGGAATTAAGAACGTGGGAGAACGGGAGGTTAGACGCAGAATTCGGGCTTGAATCAGAGAACCTCACAATGCTTCTGCACTGCGTAGGGTTTTGATATGACCCTCGATTTATCCAATTGTTTTGACTGTGAAGTTTATTTCTAAGGACGATTCTTTTCGATCAATATCTTCAGTGTTAATCAGTGCTTTTGTACTGAGCTAGCGATAGTTTTTCATTCCTCTTTTAAAAGGCACATTGGGTAGTGTTATGAAATGGGTTTAGGGTGTGTCTGCTTTACGCAATCAATGTAACCTACCCCACAGGAGCAAGTAAACTTATATGTACATTTCTTCTTTATATCTGTTTAGTGGACAATTATCTCATATTTCTGAGTTTTAAATTACTTCGATCCTCCTATTCTTCTCTGGCCTCTCAATCATTGGAAAACAATCTTTGTTAAAAGCTATGTGGATCAATCATTTGTGAATATTTGGATTTCATTTAATTATCACTTCATTCGTTTTTAGATAAGGTATGGATTTACTTAGTATGGTTTATGTTGTAAAAACTTGTCAGTTTCGGACATGTAGCTAGAATAATCAATAAACGGTTTTTCTGTCTATTTGACGATGGCAAATGACTGTGATTGCTACCCAATAAGCGATTATGGCCAGTTCTCTTAAATAAACTTATTCTCTACCTTTGCTGATTTACAGTTGTCAGAATTCAGAAATCTCATTGAGAAAGGTCAGTGTTCTTTACAGCAGGGTTAATAAGCTATCTTAATATTTCATTTTATTTCTTTTTATCTCAGGATAACCATTTGCATATCGTTCTTCAAACTACTGACCGAATAATTGTGACGAACAAGGATCTATTGACCTCTAGAATGCAAACCGAGAGTTTATTAATCCCAAAACAATATATCAACTCTAATTGGCCAGTTCGGGTAATTTCAAATCACCATTGCTTTGCATTTTATATTCTAACCACTCTGTCTTATACAAATTATCGTTAACACAAGCACGATCTGATTTATGTCTTTAGAAACCTCTCACAAGTAGTATTATAGGGAATTGACGGGATAGGAAAATGGTTTCGGAAAAGAAAAAATCTAACAGTAAATGAATATAGCTGTTTCGCTGCTAATTGTTCGTAACTTAATTATTCTGTCTCACATGTATATCAGTAGCTTGCAAGTGCTTTTGAAATTTTGGAATGTAAGGGCAAGCTTAATAACGTGATACGGACGTTTTAATATATAACGTGGAAACCTAATGACCTTTAATATTTTTATTGAAATGAAAATTTCCTGAGTATGGTGAAAATGTGTTGGTTTATCTCATATGAAGGTAAATTGGTACTTTTTTCCCGCTAGTCGACTGACCTTTTTATCATAACAAAACCTCAGAGAATATGCTCCGGTCAATATAGCCCTCTCTTGTTATTACGATAGGTAATTTCAACCACCTTGTGGGTCAAAGGCTCGGGTTGTGGCCTCCTAAGAAAACCACTTATTTCGGTCTGGGCACCCGGGCACTATCACAGCCCACATACAAATCAAGTGACATATGTATTCGGTGCCCCTTTATCCCAATTTTTATATGTTCAAATAAATAATATATTCAGAACTATCACTATATCATGTTATCCTTATTTAAAACTAAATCTGTTTTTAAATGTGCGTTGTAGTAGAATGTCTTCGAGATAATTCTTAGTGCTTCATATATCACTCGTTTTGACAAAAGTTGTTAGATATCTCAACTCCCCAACGGTGTACAAATTCCAGAAGACAATGCGAAACGTTGATATGGTTTAATTCTAGCCACCATCCATCATTGCTTATGATACTTGTGACTTAAGGCAATGTCGAGGCAATCCGGACAGGATGCACATATGCTAATAAGAGACTAATCAATTGCAGTTTTAAACATCAATCGGAAGATTCAAACAAACAATCCAGAATGAATTTAATAGTTATATTTCAAATCATATTATGGTTACTGGTGCTACATTACCTTTTAGGTGTGTCGAAACTAGTGATGGTTCCTGTTCTTCAAGACACGTCACGCTTGAATCGCAAATAACTGCTGTAGACTAAACGCTTTTTATCTGTTTGTTCTTTCTTCGTTGTGGGAATTAGCTTTCCTGTTTTCTTTTTTTTAGTATGTTGCTGTTTCTACAGATGGTAAAAAAATAGCCGTTTCAGGTCGCAATGGATTTATTCATTATAACACTGATTCACAACGTTGGCATGTTTTCGGCAATATAAAGCAGGTAAATCAAATAATGTACATTGCCCTTTACCATTTTTATCGTTACCAATGAAAATACTTTGTCGACGTTTAACTCCTTTTTACCTGGATCTATGAAATTAGATCATGACATCTATAGGCTTACTGTATGAGTAAATAGTTGCGAATATTGACTGTCGTATCAAGCTTCATCGTTCAGTGGGAAGAAAGTTGTCCCAAGAACTACTAGGTTTGTGTAACAGATAATTGATAGTTCATTTCATAAAATTAAATACTAATCGGATTAATTTGCAAAGTATTATATCTTCCTAAGTGCGCATTGCTTCTTAAATTGCTAACTGTACCCAGCCTACTACTGCATTTATTAGATTGTCAGAATTTGATTACTTACATTTTTAGTACTTAACACATAAGCTTATTTTCAGCTTTTCAGTTTTTGAATTTTTATTGTTATTACTCGTTTTATAAAGAAGTTGTTATAACTCTGCTTTCTTACGGTTGATGGCCCAGCTATTCCTATTGCTTAGTATTCTCGGACACAGATTCACTCGACAAGTCCCCAAATCAAAACACGGTTGAACAGGAAAAAAGATTATATTCCAAATAGCAAGTCAGAAGCCAGTAGGAAGCACAATAGGGGAAAACGTCGGTATATTTATAGTTTTTACATAAGAAGAATCCAGAATATTCTCCAACTATCATGCATTGAGCATGCTTTAGTCTAGTCTATGTCCCGCTAACACCTCCCCTCTGAGCAGATTCGTAGGATCTGGTGCTAGGGTCCAACTGCAACTGAGTGACTGGCTTGTGCTTTCGATTAGTCCATCGTCTAGGCAATGAAGAATTATCACTTTTTCCTTGCACAGAGACTGACATGTCTGTTCCCGGCGTTTTGATTTTTCTTAAAAAAAAGTATGCATAACTTTTAATTCTCCAACATTCTCCTCCTCCTCGAAATAATGTTGGATCCTTATATCTCCAAATTATAACCCATGTTTCTCGTATTGACTGGAGAATCCACTAAAAATGACTAGATGATGATGAACAACCTTTGATCCGAGTTCATTATTTTCAAATTCATTTTGAATCTCGTTAGCTGATAACGAGTCATTAAGAAAGTCAACGTCTAACAGAATTAGATTAGATTTTTGGCCATCATTCGACTCAGCTGACATATTTCCCTCATTGTTATAAGAAGGTTCATCAAAATCATATGCATTATTCTGAGAATCAATATCTGGTACACTGTCATTAGAAATGGGATAAGTTGACTCAATATAAAATTCTGTCTTCCGGTGATTTTGAGTAACATCTGGTACAATTTGGTTCATCGTGTTGCTCCAGTTATTTTCTGAATACGAGTCACCATAGCTTTCTCGACTAATAGCACGTGGACCACAATTTTGTTCGAGCTGACGTTTATTTTCGCAGCTAGACAGTACCAGTAGTGTTTCATTTGATTCTGGACTCCGGGCTTCATCTACAGGATCTGGCTTCTGATCATCTGGTATTGTCACAACTTCATGTGCATTCAGCACAGTATTTTCTTGCTGTGAGCCGGACACGTTACAAATATTACGTTCTGATTCAGGTATAAAGGGATTTGAACCCTCCACTAGATATGCTTCTGAAATGTCTGTTACTGCATCATAAACAGATTTCTGATTTTCTGGTCGAGTGAAAAGTGTGTTCAATAGTTGTTGTTGCAAGGCTAACAACTTCTGCTGGTGCTGTAATATTAACCGCAACTGTTCTAAAGAAATCGCCATTTTTCTTTAGTTTTTCCCCGTCGCCACTGTTATAATCTCTGGTTTCTTACGGTTAATGACCCAGCTATTCCTATTGCTTAGTATTCTCGGACACCGATTCACTCGACAAGTCCCCAAATCAGAACACGGTTGAACAGGAAAAAGATTATATTCCAAATAGCAAGTCAGAAGCCAGTAGGAAGCACAATAGGGGAAAACGTTGCCATACCTGTTTTTTAGTTCTAACTAACTGCTCGTAAACATTTAATCTCGGGAAACAACTACCGTTTTTTATTTAGATTTCCTATGATCATATACTTCATTTGTTACTTTTACGTCATTTTATGTCGTAGGAAAACTCCCTACACGTCTTTGGAGGTATGGCATGGTGGAAACAATATATTTGTCTCACCTGTTTTACAGAAAATTATGGTACTAGTGAGGTATGTTGAGTTCAATGTTTCTATTTCATACTTTAGTCAATAACTTGCTGTGGAATGAAACAAATCATGCATTTTCAAACGAGCATAGCTTTTCATGTGAACGGTTTCTTTCAGAAAATCCCGGTATCAAACACTGTCAATTACATTTGTCTAACAAAACATGGTCCTTAAGTTATTTGTCGTTTTCTAGGTTTTGGAGTTTTGTAAAGCTTAGTTTTCGGAAGTAACGGTACCGAATACAGTAAATGTTTCACTGTGAGGATTGAAAGTAGAGTAGCCGGTATTTTTAGCAAAACAATTTTGTATTAAAATGTACTGACTCGTTTGAAGAAATGCAGTAACTCTCTATTGATTACGGATAAAGGCGAAACAAATTGGTATTGCCATGCAATTCATGTCGATTACAACAATTTGACAAAGAACTACTTTTTCACTGTTGGTTTTATAGGTTCCATGTAAACCAACACCATCAGGGTAACGGTTCGTCAAGTTCGTTTGGTCCGCAATTGCAACTCATTTCCTTCATCCTGTCGTATACTCATCGCATCCTCCGAGCAAAACTATATAACCTCTGAGTTTTTCATAACTTCCTGTATTCTATTCATCAAAATAGCGACATTATTTACCTGGAAGATGAGCCTGAGAAAATGCTTTATGTCTCAAGTTGAACACATCATGTGAATACCGGCGCTTCCTACATGATGACTATACATAGTCACCCACGTCAAATGCATGAAACCTAAAATCAGTAGAAGTCTGACGGATTCGAACTCTTTCATTAGCTTCCACATCCATAAACTATCGTAATAAGCCAAAGAATTGCATTTATGGCTGTGGTTCACGTTTCGACGAATTACAGTCCAATACTCATCTATCTCTTTAGAAAATATAAAATCTGGATCACTAAATTTAGGTGAAGCTCTAGATGATACAGCATCATAAAATTTTTGCCTCTTCTTGAGACAACTTGGAGCTTTGAGACCACTTCTACTGCATACAAACTTCACATACAGTTCCTGATTCTGATGGGACTGGGAATCACGAATGGGAAAACGTTGCGTGTTGAAATTCTCTGACTGTATTCTTTCAGCGACAGAAGTCCTTTTGTATAATTTGTCTGCCTACTAGCATTCCATTTTGCTTGTTTTACTTTGGTATATCTCTTGTACGTTTTACGTAAAAATGAGACCCTTCTCATCTTTATCTGAAATTATTTCGGAGTCGGCAAATAATGCAGAGGTATGTATTCTGTACATCGCAATAATGTGTGTACAAAATTTTACTCTGTTGCTATATTGGCCTTCTACAATATTTTAATATTTAAAAACTGTAGGTTCGTGTCTACTCGTCGGACCATAAACTTGACAATCAATTTAGCTCCATCTGTGATCTTCCATCCCTTACATTACCCGTCATTGTAGACAATTTCGAAAATCTGTTTCTTGTACTTACCAACGATGGATGTCTGCAAATCTTTGGTTTATCAGAGTCTGTTTCCAGTAAAAGTTAGTTTTTTTTGGAAGCTAATCTTGTTACATTTTAAATTGTTTTGCCGTTGTCTCTGCGTTTTAGAGACTGATGTGTAAATTAAGATCCCATCATGTCGGATAAACAGATTGCAGAGCGATAATACCCAACCATAGTAAACTTCAAGTCTAAAGGCAAATTCGTGCTACTAGCTGTTCTGGAGTGTGATGACAGTAAGGTATTCAAGAGTAACTTCTTCAGCATCTCTGCCTTCCTACAAACAGGTGAAGAGTTTGGAAAGCTACACACGTTTCCTTGCCGTACAGATTTCCTGTTCCTCTGGTTTGGAATTAATAATAGAAAAGTAACCATTCATAAAATGTGCTACTGACCTCAGGAAGTTACCTTTCGTGTTCTTTCGTCATGCATTCATGTCGATGATGCTACCAATATCAAGACGCAACATTCTTCTGGTGTATGTATATTTTTCATACTTCTGTATTCCTCAGACAGGATTCAAATGATCTCAATCAGCGTGAACTAGTTCAGTTCACTCTTCGACATCTAGAGAGTTGTTAATAACTCAGCTTCAGTGGTGTATGTGCAGCACTAAGCTCAGAAGCAAACTAGCGTTCCTGGGAATAGGTATCTGGGTACAATCGTTTGTACGCCATTTGGCGGAATGGAGTTGTAAGAACTTCAAAAGAGGGAATACATGCCGTTATCACTTCTCAGTCACTGCTTACTTCGACACTAACTACAACCCAAATTAATTTGTACATTATTGTTTATACTGAAAGCTTTCAACCCTTTTCTCCAAAATTAGTTGCTTCGATGGAGTGATTTAAAAATACCTAGATACTTAGGCTAAGTCAATCTGTAAAGCATTTAGGTATTGTTCCTAGCGTTTTAGTTCATATAACCTATGACTTTGATCGTCTCCTGAATCTATTCTCGTACAATCGCAATTCATAACAGAGATTTACGGTGACTATCTGCGTCATTGTACAACTTAGTAACCTTGGATAATAACATAACAGTGGAGACTACTTTCAATTCTGAAGCATGTTTTTAATCCTTGCTACTCTGTTTTACGGATTTTAAAAAATACAAGAAAGTTAGAAAAAAAAGATTACCTGCAAATCAGTCGAATAATGATAATGTCAGGTGCATTTTTTGAGTAACAAATTAGATATATAATCAACCGTGAAAGTGTTGAAGTAGTGCATGCCCCGCAGTTTGAATTAAAATTTGCATTGATGTCCGTTAGAGATTAAGAAAAGCTAAGGAAACTTATATGTAATTTTTTTACACAATGACGATGCAAGCGATCTGATCCTGTAGCATCAACACAACTTTTAGACCTGCTTACTACATACCAGTTCCTAAACCATAGTGCAGATTACCTGGTCGGTTCTCTTGTTGTTGGTAATTCTATGATATATATATATATATAATGACTGGTCGTCGCCAATTTTTACGTTGGAACCACTTATTACTTGTACTTACAAATCGAGGAACCACTGCGATACCCACAACGCGAAGCAAGAACACCAAGATTGGTACAAATGAAGATTAATTAACCCCAAAACACGACGAGGACCCTAGTCGAAAATACACTCATTTATATATTGATTGTACACTCGTTTCGATTATTAATTAAGGTCAAATCATATAAATGAAAAATCCTCAGAGTTATAACAAATCATATACTGCTTGTCATCCTGAGCACAGTACATGTTAATTTAATACAAGAATGTCGTATCTTATATATACATATCTGTTGTGTCATCTAATTAGGACTTAATAATCTCACACCAAATATAAGAAACCTCTTTTGGAGTTCCACATAGTCCACATTTTATTGATGCTTAGTATCACATTTCTACAAAGTTGTCTTTATTATTCCATCTGGCTTACTTTCTTTCTTTATAAGATCATTTCGTTCAATTGATACTGAAACCTTTCAGCCAAAGGATTTACTTCTTGCTTATTCTATTTTCTCCACTTATCTCATTTAACACCAGTCGGAGTCTTCTAAAGGTAAAGATATAATCAGTGTCTTATTTTTTTAAGTTTAACCGTTTTTGTTCCTTCGAAAGTGAAAAGTTGATTCTGTTTTAGTAGTTTATGGTTTACAGTTTTTTGTGTACCGTTCATCTAACACTCATGCCTTAATTTTCATTATTTTTCCATACACTTTTGCCAAATATATTTTTCTTCATCATAGGCACCGTCGCCGTATCTCCTTTCAAGGCTGTAAATTTAACAGATATTGTCATATTTCCAGCATGTGTTGTTCGGATTTGCTTTACAACTTTAAAGAGTAATGCATGTAAGTCTAAAATTCTCTCCTTTTGGCTTCGTTTACTGAGTTTTAAGGCTTTTTTACAGGTCGGATTTTGCATGAGATTAAGGAAAGTTCTTGAATAAATCAGTTTTTTGTTTATATAAATGATTTGTCAGTAGTTATGATTAGTTAGGACGGTTTTTTGTTCATCACCTCATTAATAATAACCATTGAAGATGTATAACCTAACTTTGGTTATTATCTTTCAAAACGTTTTCCAGCTTTTACTCGTACAACCACTTCAGGATCTAATTTGTTTCGTAACTTCGACCCAGGTTTATGCTCAGTTGAAAGCTTAGTTATGAATTATTCCGGTGATGTGTTTATGTTGCAACGTTCGTTTTTGGATTTCACTCCGAAAAGCCATTCTGGAACCCCTGAGGAAATTAACCAACAGGTAATTCAAACATCACTCATCTTGAATATAAAGGAAAAAAATACTGGAATTAAGTAATTTCATTTCTTGTATGGTAATGGGTTTACATATTCACAAATTTTTATTAACTACAGGGGAAAATGTATCATATGTTTAAGTCCCGTTGTACAAATTGTAAATGCTCATAACTTTACTAGTCACATAGATGTATAGCTTAATGTAAAAGAAGGTCAATCACAAAAAACAAAAGTGGATAATATATAATGACAGTGATAGTAATAAAAATTGTCTTACCTAAAGGGAATCTATGTCATATACTCAAAGTTTTCGGATAGTACGGAACCTCTATAAGTCCATCGAACTAAATCGTAAGTTTCTGACATCCGGTTCGTCACTGAATTTTCTCAGACTAGGTCAAATCGATTATGGTATAACGTTTGGTTCTCAGTGGTTCTCTAGTTAGTATTAGTCGGTGATTAAACTCACCTGTCTTTGCTGTTTTTAGACAGATGGTGATTGTCGCTTAAGGGATAGTCAGTGTTCTTATAAACGTAGTAGAAATTGAGAATTAATTATTCCAACAAACTTCCACACACACCACTTAACCTCTGGATCCCAATTTCGAATTCCCTTCACCTACTAAGGCTCTATCATAGGAGCGTCACTGAATCTCATATCTAGAGTGTAACTCAATCTCGAATACATGAGTCTGTATTTGATAAGTCAGTTACATTGTACACATTATTACTAACTTGTTTTACTTTGTAGTCTCATTCTCAGATTAATTAAACATCAAGTATTGAGACTTTGAAAGGGATTTCAACTGACTAGTAGCAGATTCCTAAATGTTCTTAATATTAGGAATGAAGATTCATTTGTCTATCCGTTAAAGTGTCCAGTTATTCTCGATATAATTGGACCTACTGTTTCTAAGTCCGTAAAACATCAGTTCCCTAAAAGATTTGGGACTTAACCTTTCAGCTTTCCTTGAACTGTTCTTCAGCGTATTCCTAAATGTGCTTCATTTTGTATCTAGTTATATATGTAATGTTCATTACCATTTGTTTGCGCTAAACTATTATTATTTCTCTTTTAAAAATATGGTTGTTTTCGATCAGTTACTATCATTCGGAACACCTTTATTAGTTGCTTCTGAAATAGAAATTCTATGGTCTACAAGCTGTTTCACAACAATCACTTCTCAGGCTGATAATGATCGTTTATCGTCATTGAATGTGATTGATGCAAATGCTTATACGAAAGACTCCTTGTGGCTTTATTCCGGAGCAGCTGGACTTAGTGTTTGGCTTCCACTACCGCAAGTTCCTTCTTCGCTTGCATTTAGTTTTAATTATGAATCTGTGAGGTCAGATACCAACCACAAATTTAGTACGGATCACGATAGTTCATCGGTCTTAAATTATGATTACCGAAGAATAATGTTGTCATTTGAGTTGGGTGGTGATTTGTACCCTCTTAGTGAGTTAAATTGATAATCTATTGTTATTGTCTTTGTTTTCGAAACTCATTTTCGTTTTAGTTTGTGTCACCGATGGTTATGTTGCTTGGTTTTTAGTCGTATATTAATTGTTTGAATGCAATGTAATTATGTTATTTTTTTCCGTTTGATTTCGTGATATTATGTCGCTAGTGTTCTTTTAGTAGGTGTCATTGATATTGGAGCGATTCTCAGTGCTCCATCAACTATTTTTAAAACAGTGATGTTACCTGTTAACATCCTGATGGGTATCCTTGTTGGTTGCGTTTCATTCAGTCACAATTCAAATCAGGTGTGATATCTCGAATAAGTCTGAAAGTACTATGGCATACAAAGTTTTAATTATTCCATTTAAAAGTGCAATTAGGTTCCTTTGTTACCTATCCCAGTCGTTAAAAAATCAATATACTCTTGTTAGAATCACATTGTGAAATCTCGAAATCGGTAGTTACTAATCATGTAATCATCATTCAGGAGCAAGCAACCAAGACATTTCATCCCCGTCTAATTTCCAGCTATACATGTTAAGTAATTCTCATACTATCGTAGTTCTACTCGGTTTTCATGGACGTCCACACTGATAAGGGTGGTAAATTTCGTATCATAGTGCTTAGATTTCTTCTAACTGGTTTCATAGGTCATCTATCCTCTACCCATCAAGAATGTCATTCAAGTTTGTAGTTTGTTTGTTGGTTACAATTCAGGATCAGGAAGTCGAATGCCGGCTGGAAATCGGTACTGGTGTTTATAAATCTTAAATATTTTCCGTCTTGTCCTTAATGACCTGCTTCAGTTTGGGTTCCCGGGCAGTATTCCAGCCGTCACACAAATCGAATGACGAAGTGTGGCTCCATATATATCAGGTGCCTCTTTGTACCAATGTTTATGTATTTAGATGGACAATAAACAATTACTCATTTTTTGGTTTCGATACCAAATTATTCTTTGATTTTTACCTTGGGTTGTCACGAATAAAATGTAATGCCTTCATGATCACTATTGGATAATATTTCATCAGGCTTCTAAATAATTCTAATTTAATTGAAAATCCTCGATTAAATTTTTTAGTATCATATAATCCTAGTCCATATTTATTGATTTGAGTTTCACTATGAGTATATTCATTTTTAGGTATTTGCTTTCAGGAAGGCTTGCTAGTCGGTATTCTTAATGAGTTTCATCGTTGCTGGAACAAGTCATTGGTTCATTGTAAGGAAAATATATCTTCAGATTTATTCGCGCTATTTCCTTATGGAACTTTGTTAATTAAGGTTAAGTCGAATAAATTTTTCGTATCTATTTGATTTGACGTATTTTGACTGTTTTGCATTGTCGTGCTTAGGTTTAAGGATGGTTGTGATAATATTTCTGGTTACAGAAGACTTTCAAAATGCTTTTGTTTTGTGCTTTCTACTTCCCACGCAAATTTCCATTAATTTTGTTGGCCACTACAAATAAACGCTATTCAAAGTGGACAATTTATCATCCTTTCTTATTCTAAGTGACTGGTCAATCTTATTGAAATAAACTAATACTTAACAATCTGACTGCTTTGTCGATCCACCGAATTTTAGTAGCTTGTTCTTCCGTATGTATCGAAATATTATTGGGAATTCCCTACTTTTTTCTTGGTATTGTAATACAGAAAGGTTCTTCCCGATAAAGATTGGTAAAATGAATAATAAATATGGAAAACATTATAAACGATGGTGTTAAGGTTAGGTTCAATGGTGTAAAAGTACTAGAAAGTCTATAAAAAGCATTTAACCAACTAACTGAAAGTTACATAATAACACAGAAAAAGATTGAATATTGGATTAACATGAGTCAAGTTAGCATAAAACACAAAATAGAATCAAGAAAATGAATGTATAGTCGCGAACACAAAGATACTAAGTAGCTAAGTGTTTGAATGCATTTTTCTGACCTTTTTCTATCTATGCTTTCGACAAAATTTAGTAGTAAGTTTGAAATCACTTGCTTATTGATAATTCTGAAATGTCAACATCGCGTTGACTTTCAGTTAGATCACAAGTGATCACACCGCTAAAAGCATTTTAACCTCTAAGATTCGATTTCTGAGGAATATGATCGGAGATGTGATCCATAAATCTTTTTATTTTTCCAAGATATGCGCTTCGGGACATGTAAACTGGTAAACATAATTGCAGGTAATGTTGGGCCAGAAGTTTGTTAGATACAGGGCGGCCTGCTTGAGCATCTGGGCTACCTGTTCCTGCCATCTAGATATTTCAACAAGTTATCTATTGTTGTTTGTTTTAATATATCATTATGTTTATTAATTGCATAACCTATTCTGCTGCGTTTCTGAAAAGTGTACAACCTTTCGTTGTCAAAGTTACAGAAAACTCAATAAGAGACAATATGGTTGGTGGCAATGTACAACGAAAAGAATGTACATTATTCAGTTGTTCATTCACTGAAGTGCTAACATCTAACTGGCGATTCCTCAGTATTTATCGCCAGGACCGACCAAGAAGAAAGAAACGGAAACTTGTTGAAATACTTTGCGCTGAGATTTCTATATTGTACCAAAATTATAATATTGAATAAAGCTAATAATAATAATAATAATAATAATAATAATAATAATAATAATAATAATAATAATAATAATAATAATAATAATAATAATAATAATAATAATAAAGTTTGTTAGATACAGGAAAACCAGTTGAGCGACTGGATAAATCCTTTTTAATACAGCCCCTAGTCTTAACTCGATTTAATAGAACATTACATCACTTTTGAGGCTAAGTCGTATAAAAACAGGCTTCTCAAAAGTGACTTATTCCTGTCGCTTTGTTCTTGACATACGTATTTGCGGATAACATTCTTTCCTTTTATTCTGTCACCTAAAGTACAAGTAACTTAATTTCTATAGGTTTCTCGACTGTAATTCTCACAGATTCTTCTATTAATATACGTTCATAAGACAACCATTTTGAGTTGCGTAAAAACGCGGGTACTGTTAAATTAAGTATTTCTATATGATTAAATAACAGTATTTTACTGACTTTTATCCTGTCTTGACATTTGAATTCCTATGTGTGCATCGAAATGAGTTAAGAGTTCACCTATACGTTATTGAATGAGTGATAATCAATCGCATATAACTTTGTTTCACATCTATGGAACAATATGTAGACTCACTTGTGTTAAACATTCCTATGTTTCGCGATTATCTCGCCTTTTTAAAACAGGAAATAAATTGTACTACCCATAAACTGATAGGCGTTTCTTTTATGTATTTAATCTGTTCATGCCTGGCTATTTCCTCCTCTCGTATTTTCGATTTCGTTCTTTTGGTTCACGTTTTTTCCCTGTGCTGTCAGTTTCCATGCTAATCTATTCAGTATATTATACATGACGTTCGAATTCGTTGAACATTCTTTTTTTTCAGATTCAGGTAGCACTACATCATATTATTCGACAGCTTCTTAAGAAAAAGTAAGTTGTTTTATCTAAAAATTCAATTTTTATTCTTTTTGTTGTAAAACAATCATTGCACATGGTTTGCGAAACTACTTAAAAGTTATGGCTAAGTGACATGTCCTTTAAGTGGTCTGAGATCCGTGAAGTTCTTTTAGAACCTAATCCCATAACTTTTAACAGGGTGATAATTTCAACATGGGAGGCAGTCACAGAGCGGTTGATCGCGGAGTTCGACAGCCCAGTGACTGGGAAGAAGCACTGCAGAAGTTCCGGTTGGCGATCGATGGTGACCCACTGTTACTGACTGTGGAGCTTACCAAGTCGTTGCACCACGCGTCACGAAATCTGGGTGTGGAGTCGGGAGCACAGTTGTTGGCGTCGCAATTTATTAAAAGCGTGCCTGTCACCGTTTCCCAGCAGCTGAACCTAGTAAACACCTCACAACCTATGTGCTAGCGAAGGTGCGGAAGTCACGAAATAAACTGTATCGAGAAGAATGAGGAGCTGCAGCATGAGATTGCTGCGATACAAGTGAATCGTAAAAGAAATGATAAGTGTCACGCTTGTGGAGGGACAGGAAATCGGAAGATAAACTGTCCAACAAGACGAAGACGCATATATTATAGAAGTTATGACACATGTTTCTTTCTACCTTAGGAATCTATGGGTTGTTGCACTAGTAAATAGAGGGGCAATCTACACAAGATGAACATAAATGAACGAGATTTAGTGTGTCTGATCGATGCAGGTGTAGCACTATCCCTAATACGCAAAGAGCAATGTAAGAGGCTCAAGCCATCTGCATTAGCAGTTCACACGATAGGAGGGCACATATTAAAGGTTTTAAGTGTGTCTAACAGTATCGTAAAATTGGATGATGCTGTTATAAATTCCCCGCTCGTAGTAACCACAAGCCAGCCTATCGAGACCGATATTGAGAGCAGTTTTCCTGAGAGAAGTAAAATCATTAGTTGACTTAAGAAGCAGTAAGGTGGTCACAAAGTACGATTCATTCCCAATACGTGAAAGTGGCTTAGGATGGCTACAGACGTTTCGATGAAAAAACCAAACATCAACGAGTTGTGCACAAAGTATACGAAACTGTTCACTGGAGACGAAGAGTCGTACGAATTTTGTGTCAAAGTAAAGCATGAAATCCCGATAAAAAACAATCGAATATATATATTTGCAATACATCGTGTCCCTGTGCTTTTACAGGCTGAGGTAAATAGACAGGTCCAGGAGATGTTGAAAGAAGGTATAATTGAGCAAGCGGACAGACCGTATAGCTTGCCGGTACTCTTGGTAAAGAAACCGAATGAAAGTATTAATTTTGTGTCGATTTTAGAGAACTGAAATCTTGTGCATTGCTAACAGCTGCGGAAACATTAGATCGGTTGCTGAATGCTACGGTGTTTACAGTGCTGGATTTGCAGTCAGGTTATTGCCAACTGTCTATAAAAAAGAGTGATCTAAACAAGAAAGTATTTACTGTACGTGATAAACAGTATCAATTTACTAGTATAGGGATTGTGGAGATTATTAAGTTTTTGATTGAGATCATGAACCGATTGATGTTAGACCATCACAATTGAAAACCTGGAAGCACTGGACAGCCGTTTCGTCCTATTGTGGGACTCCTCAGCAGTGCGCATCCACGATCCCGCGAGCGGGATTCGAACACAGGGCCTTCGGTCTCGCGCGCGAACGCTTAACCAACTGGACCACTGAGCCGGCATCCAATGGTGATAGTTTCTAACATCAACCAATCCACGAAATTGCGCGACCAACTTCCGTTGTACTGAGGTAGATACCTGTCTCTACCCGACAAGGATTAGCTCCACTGGTCACGGCTTCTCACTAGAACTCCGAGAATTCCCTCACGAAGCTAGTCACTAGTGAGCACATGTTGATTACTAGTATAGGGATTGTGGAGATTATTAAGTTTTTGATTGAGATCATGAACCGATTAATGTTTCAATTTAGACGAATGCCGTTTGCGTTCAGAAGAATTATGAGTGCTGCTCAGGGATATAGTTAACGTCGAGGTGAATGGTGACGTTGTAGATGTGTACAGCCATACAGAAACAGATCACGTCAAGCATGTGGAAGCGGTCTTTAAGCGAATTGAGGAAGTTGGACTTTGAATTAATAAGAACCATTCTCAGATAGAGAAACATTCCGTCACGTTGTTGGGGCATATAGTGGGGAATGGAGAAATAAAACCACTGCCGGAGAAAATTCTAACCATAAAAAAGATTGCAGTACGTTATTCGAAAAGGAAATTGAGACAGTTCCAGCAAAAGGGCGGCATTCTACAGTCGGTTCGTCAAGAACTTCAACGAAATAACAATACGTCTACATAAGTTGTTGAGCAACACTAAGTTTACGTGGACGAAGACTGTCCAACAAACGTTCAACCGAATAAAAAACATTCTAGACGACCGCCAGATGAAGCTCAGACTGCCTGAATCAGAGAAACCGTCTTCAGTGGCCACAGACACACGTGATCATGGTATAGGTAACGTCTTTAGCCAGTCTGATTGAGTGGTGGAATATACGAGTCGCGTTCTCACACCCGCTAAACAGAAGTATTCATCGATCGAAAAGAAGTGTTTAGTAATCGTGTGGGCAGTAGAAAAATGGAGATCGTAACTTTTAGGTAGACGATTCCACATCGAGACTGATCATGAACACCTGCAGTAGCTGAAAACAGCAAGAGACCCCGTGGGAAGTTGGCGCGATGGATAATACGTCTTCAAGAGTACGACTTCTGTATCGGCCATGTTCCAGGAAAGGAAACACTAATAGAGAACTACTTGCCAAGACCAGACATAGAAGCCGAGCTTCCATTGACAGCATGCGCAATAAATAGTTTAGAGGGAGACCCACTAGAACTCGTCCAACAGCAGAAAGCTGACCCTTAGCTTCGAGAGGTAATCAGAGTGATAAAAGAGAAAGCAGATATCGACAAATGAACAATGGACTAAGAGGTAATAATGTTGCTTCGGCAATAGACTGAGGGTGGACACATGTACCCCTTATCTGGCAGGATGACGACAAAAATTGGGTATCCGTGATCCCAAAAGACTGGCGACGTAAGATGATACATGAATGTCACCAGGTAGCGCATACAGGTATCGCAAGAACGACAGATTTACTACGTCAAAGTGCATACTGGCCAGGCATGAGAGACGATGCGGCCCTGATGTGTGGGTGAGAATGATAATGATTAGTTGTCTGCTTAGTCAGACATGTAGATAGTCTGATGAGTTATATATTCCCCTATCCTTATTATTATTATGACACACTTATCATTGATTGTTCATTGTTGTTGGATTGTGTCGGGTTTTTAGTGTGGAAATATATTTACATTGTGGTCAGGCTAATTACGTATTCTTGATCTGAGTTGTGTTGAAGTCCTTTAGACACTGGGAGGGAATCTAGTGTAGATAATCGTTTAAGGTAAATTAACGTGCCGTACGTGTAAACCCAACCGTTATAACATTAGACGAAGTAAGAACGAGCGTTATAACAGGCCCAATACGTGTTAACTTGCCAGCAGCGCCAACTCATGAAAAGCGATCGATACACACACCCGCCATTAGAGTCAATCCCGGTAACTGCTGTCGGTGGATGTGATGGACCCTTTCCACAGATGTCAAGCGGTCACCAGTACCTGCTAGTGATGACGGAACATGCTACACGGTGGATAGACACCGTACCCATTGCAGACCAGCGGGCAAAAACAGTAGTAGTAATAGTAGTAGTCCGACATATTGTAGCGTGTCACGGAATACCGAAGATGATATCAACCGACCAGGGTCTCTTTTGAAAGTGACGAGTTTAAAGCCCGTCTAAAGCAGTTTGGCATCAAGAGGATACGATCTACACCGTATCACCGTCAGACGAATGGGCTTACACAAAGAAACAACCTAACGTTAATGGAATTGTTAGCCTCTATATGAGGAAATTGTGAGGAAGCGTTACCATTGATTTTGCTGGCGCATCGTGCCTCCATACAAGAAACAAACAAGAGGTCACCTTTCCTGCTGATGCATGGTAGGCAGCCACAACTTCCAATGCATAATAAGACCTGACCATAACAACAGAAGTGGATGGTAACAAGGTTAAGAAGAGAGAGGAGAGAGGCAATAAGGAATATGGAAAAGAAAAAATTTCAGACATCAAAAAGGCGGAACAGCAGAGGAGAACGTGGAAGCTTTTTGCAATGGGGGACCTGTCAAAGTGTAGAGAACGGAAAAGTAACATAGCAAGGGGATCAGGGCCAGGAAGGCTGATCCCGAAGTGGGATGGAACGTACATTGTCACAGAGAGACGTGCCTCGGTTTACACAATCCAGAGAGAATACAAGAATAAGCGCGTAAATGCTAATCAACTCAGTCAGTCAGTAACAACGTAGAACTTCGTACGTACGTACATCAGTTCGAGTTGACACACCACATTACCACAGAGATGCAGTGGTCGATTCAAATCCCGTAGTGGTAGAGGTAATAAGAGTATAAGCAGTAATCAGGATAATTAGTGTTTGATGATGTTATTTAAAGAGTATAATACAGTGAAATAAATTTGGGAAGAGAAAAAAAAGACAAGAAGGAATAAGGAGATCAAAATTTGGGAGAACACAAAGAGTGTATGCACTTGCGCCATTGTAAACGATTTTGAGCCATGTCATTCAGGGTCTCTAACCATCGGTTGCTATCATCTCGCGGTCCCCAACCAGGTAGTCTACACCTACCAACATGACTCAGTCCACTTGTCAGTGACTTCATGGACTTGTGCCATGTTTTGGTCTGGCCGCCCCTAGCTTTCTTCCAACCTACTCCTATACCACTGAACATCGCACGTCGAGGTAGTCGGTGGTGAAGTTTCACCACTTCATCAATCGACTTTCCATCCTTACCTAGTACCCGTTTCCTAACAACTGCGTTACTTACTCGATAGTCCCAGGATATACGAGCAATTTTTCGAAGACACCCATGATCGAATACTAGTAACCCACAAACATCCTCTATTCTTATCAGCCATGTTTCACTGCCATAAAGCAGAACAGAGAGAACTGCTGAGCAGTTAACACGTCCTTTGGTTGATAGACGGATATCTCGCCTACGCCATAAATGACGCAAGTTGGCAAAAGCTAGTCGAGCCTTCTGTATCCGTGCTGAGATTTCGGCACACACCAGACCACAAGGTCTGATGAAACTTCCAAGATAAGTGAAGCGGTCAACACGCTCAACTACTTCACTCCCTATCATTATTTCGGGTGTGGATGCAACCCAATCCTGAAGCAACATTTTGCATTTCGAGGGGGAGAATCGCATCCCGAATATGCTTGCATTGTTGCTTAGAGTGGTCAGAAGACTCTGCATTTTGTCAGCGTCTTCATCAAATAGAACTATGTCATCGGCTAATTCCAAGTCAACAAGTGAATCTCCCGGTAGAAGTTCAACCCCTGGAAATCTAGATGAGGAAAGTGTTATCTCTAAAAGTACGTCAACGACTAAGTTAAACAAGAATGGAGAGAGGGATCGCCCTGACGAACACCACTTGAGGTAATCAATTTTGATGACAGTTCGCCATAAGCTCTCACTCGACCAGTTGTGTTCGAGTAGAGAGCCTTTACAAGATTAATGTACTTCTTCGGTACTCCTTTCAATGACAAACACTGCCATAGAACCTCACTATGGACAGAGTCGAATGCTGCCTTAAGGTCGAGAAATACTTCGATGGTGGGGCGTCTGAACGAATGTCTGTTCTAGAACCTGACGTAGTGTGAATATCTGGTCTATACAACCACGTCCATGTCGAAAACCAGCCTGATTTTCTCTAGTCTAATCTTCACGAGCTTTGGTTAGGCGTCGAAGTATTACTGAAGCTAATATTTTAGACACTATATTAGTCAAACTGATTCCTCTGTGATTGTCACAAGAGGACTTTTGTCCTTTTTTATAGACTGGCACAATCAGTGATTGAGACCAGTCAGATGGGATTGCGTCCAGTTCCCAAATTCTACCTAAGACCTCAGTTAATCTCACTGCTAATACTGGACCACCATCCCTAAAAATCTCAGGAGTGAACCTGTCAGGGCCTGCTGCTCTCCCTCGCTTTAGATTTCCTATGGCTTTTTCAACTTCATAAGGGACGGAGGACCTAAATTAACTTGCCATTCAGGTTGACTGGAGATCGTGGGAAACCGAAGTGTGGCTGAAGGCCAGATGAACTGATTCCTAAAGTGTTCTGCCCATCAATCCAATCTCCTAGATTGAATGAATAATATGTCCATCTTTTTCCGAGATCTTTTCGCTAACAGTCGGGTTCCTATTACCGGTTTTCTTGACAAGTATGAACAGTTGTCTGCTGTTACCTATTGCCGCTGCCTTGTCCACCTCTTGTTTTCGCTACCCACCGCTATTCGCGATCATTGAGTAGGTTTCTTATCATCCTGCGCTTAAACTGACTCCGCTCTTCGTCATGTTCAGAGCCAGACGGGATGAGTTTTCGAGCATCTATGAGTGAGGTAGATGCTGCTGAGATAGCGTTTCACCCTAACCTTATGGTTTACCTTACTAGCAGATATCACTGCTGTTTCCACAGCTTTTCGGATATCATTCCATGCTGCCTCGGGGTGGGCATCACTTACATGGCTGCCTAACTGTTTTTCTAGTTGTTCCTGAAATATACTCTTAGCTTGACTATCATTAAGTAGGGCCCTAAGAGGTTTACTTGCAGCGTCTTTCCTACGTCCAGTAAGACGCAGACAGGTACGCGCTCATACTAGAGCATGATCTGAATCTAAGCATGTGCTGCAGAATGAACAACAGTCTTCCATCGAGCCCCTGCATCGGTGGTTGATAGCGATGTGATCTATTTGGGTCCAACGTTGGGATGAATTAGGGGGTCGCCGTGTTAAAAGATGTTTCTCATTATCCTTAAAGTTAGTATTTGCAAGGAACAGGCGGTTATCTGGGCATAGCTGCAACAGACGGTCGCCATCATCTGTTCTTTGAGCCACGACACTATAAGATCCACCCAGGTGTATTTCCTTATCTCTTAGTTTACCTACTTGATCATTAAAGTCACCAGCCACAATTACTACATCAGAACGCCTAGCTTTTCGGAGAAGGTCGAAGAGCTTTCTGTAAAACTCATCTTTTACATCATCTGCGCTGCAGTCAGTGGGAGAATAGGCAGAGACGACGAAGAGGCAACGACGAGTGTCCCTATCTTTTCGGATCCTTACTGTTACGTTTAGTCGGACAGCGCACGACTGTCTACTGGGATCCAGTCTAAGAGAGCTTGTTCTGCCCTAGGACTCAATGCTAAACCTACGCCGGCGAGTCCACGAGAAGCAGAATCTGGGCCTCCAGATACACGAAGTGTGAATCGAGTTGGTTCGTTGTTTTGACATGGTGATGTCAAGTGAATGACGCTACTCGGGTCCTGTATGCGCGTTTCGGAGACGCAGCACGCATCGATGGCGCGGGATTCTAAAGTCCTAGCTAAGGAAGCCTGTTGTCCTATTTGGCACAGTGTTCGTACGTTAAAAGCTCCTACATGTAGTTTAGAGCGTGGTTTCAGGAGACCAGGAATAACGTTCCGTGTACTCAAATCGTTGGCCCTAGCGGTGCGAGGTGAAAAAAGGACGTGAGAGGGGTTAGGCGGGGAGATAAGAGAGGTATTAAGAGGTGTAGGAAGGATTTGAATGTGACCAACTTGGTCTCGTGTGTTGTTACGGGTATGAGGGCTGATGTCAATTCCCGGTTGCCCACACCGTAGAAGGGTATCTCTAGAGGAACCTGAAAAGGAAGTCGGATTAATGTCGGCCTTAACGACCTGGGAGCGTGACCGCAGAGCCCAAGGGACAACTGCTTGAGGCCGGTCGCGCATGGTCTTTTTGTGGGAGGTTTTTGATGTGTTAGCTCCGTTCTTCAAAGGGCTTTACCACCGGAGAGGGAAATCCGTGAGGTAAGGGTCAACTATTTCTAACCCCCTCCTTTCTTGTGAGAAGGCAGCATCGCTGCAGATGCCGGTTGTCCGAGGGAAACACCTTACCGCTGTTACACCCCTCTACAGTCAGCAGTACGACTTCACCCTCAGACATTGGAGTTGCTGCTTTTAGTCTTACCGTTCTCCAATCAGACTGCCTGGCATGGTAGAACCTACAGGAACATATGTTCCAGCCAATATAGCTCGGTTGGGTCATCACGATAGGCAAGCCCGACCACCGCGTCAAGGTAGCAGCTTCGGTCGGGATGCCAATCAACTGCAGAGATGGTTTCAAAATCATCATGAGTGCGAGTCACGAACTGCACTAAAGAAGATAGCGGTACGGCGATCTGAAAGACTACGACGACACCTTATTGAAAGGGGAGACGAGTGTATTGTGTGCTACTTATGTCAACACAAGTATTATATTGATGCCTGTCAGGAATAAAATGTGTGGCAGCAGAAGGTTGATTTGGTAAAAACGGGAACAAAAATCAATTGTTGCGGAAATGCTGGAACAATGGAGTCTGAGACAATTAATGAACATTTAGCACATGAAGTATTGGAGTATGGTTTTTCTACTTTATCAAGTGACTCTGTAAATATAATCGGTTGTCCCCATCTGTGTTCTCCTTTAGTTCAGAAGGATAGGCGAATACATTCCATTGGAGTGATTTAACACCCAATCCAAAAAGCATTACTATTATTTTCTAGATTCACTATATAACCAGCTTTGATATGTTCTACAATTTAAAAGGGAATTCGTAAGTCCTAGAGGATTTACATTTTTATGTGTTATGGAAAGTTGTATTGTTTTCGTTCGTAAAGTCTCCGTATGCACATGAAGTAAAAGAATTGTAGTTGTTATGAGTTTTCTTACTACGACGTAGCTACCATGCTTAGTATTCTTGAACATTACTTCACTCGATAAGTCTTCGAATTAGAACACTGTTGAATAGGAACATAATTATATCCCATATAAACCAGGTTGGATAGAAGTAGAAATCAAGATAAGAAAAACAGTGTATTCATAATTTTTACATAAGGAGATTCTTGAGTCTTCTCTAAGTATCCGCTAGCAAGAGATGGCCAATCAGCGTGCTCCAACACAGTCCCGAACGGAATATGCTTTAATCTAATCTATGTCCTGCTAACAGTAGTCCTTATTTTCCTTGAACTGGTGTGATTTTCTGCAGTGTTTGCGTAATTTCTAATACGTTTTTTTCTAATTTTGCACATGTAGTTTGGGAATACATGCGTTTCAAATGAGTTTAGCGTATCAACATTTACCGTACTTTCCTCGTATTTTGGAACTGTTATTACATGAAGTCTTGGAGGTTGAAGCTGCCTCCAAAATTCCAACGCCAGGTAGAAAATTCAAATACAACATCTGTCTTTCATCATTTTACTGTTTATTTGCACCTACAATTTGAAGGCTTTTTAATTTTATTGATAATTGTCAAAGGAGAAGTACTACGAATTTATTTGATCTATATAATACCTCATCGTAATATATTATATACTACTGTTCTCAACGCCTTGCAATTCTATATTATTTCTACTAGTGTTTTCGTAAGAAGGAAGGATGTATGTGAAAGTTATCAGTTGAACCGTGAAAGTTTCACCTTTTATGCTTTTCATACCAAACACTGTTTACGAAAACCAGTTAAACGTTTCATGACTTTGCACTCATTTTTTCGGTTCTGCTATTCCTCTAAATTCGTTTTGTTTTATTATGAACAAAAACAGTTTTTGTTTTGTATGATTGAAGTCACTGATAGCACTCAGCAAATATATGATTGTCTATTAACGATTGCTTATACTCGTAAAATTTGTCTCAGAATTTGAATAAATAGCATCTTGTAAGTGACACGGAATAAAATCACTGCTTTTAATTTTGGTTTACAAAACGTTAGTTTCATGTGAAAGAACTATTGAATAATATCAGAAATAAAGTTCTAGATGAAAACGATATGTCGATCAAAACCTGCGTATACACTGCTAGTTGAAATTCATTTCGTGTCATGAATTATGGTATGTTGGTTGGTTGTTCAATAATGATATTTCGTACATTACCTAATCGAGTATGGTTTCTGTGATATATATATATATATATATATATATATATATATATATATAATTTTCCTTTCTCACTGGTTTTTGGATATCGTTACTTTAACTCAGGTGTTAATTGTTCAAGTATTTATTCCGTATGATAGTATTGACCATTGGTCACATCTCTGGCTGAACAATTTATATGTTAACTTACCATGTTTTATCTCTAAGTTATTTGTTTGCTTCAGTGGGTTATCAGGAAATAGTCCATACATTTGTAAAATACAATGAACCACAAGTGTGCACTAAAACTCGAGAAATACATTTTGGGAACTGCGAACGAACCCGTACTTATATCACATTTAAATACATAATATTTGGATAACAAGCAGTCCTACACACTTCAGCACTCATACATGGTATTCTTATGATCTGGTTTTATTATAATTTACCTTATTTCATCTTTGTATACATAAAATTCATATCTCAGAGTTATTATATTGGTCCTTTCGACCTTGAAAATGACCTTCTGATGTGTTGCGCTGCTGAAAACATTAGTACGACGGTTTGTTGTGTTATTTTTCTCAGCCATCCTGTTCTTTAATCCTTCGTGCTCGGAATTATAAATACTTTAATGTTTTCGCCTTTATATTTCACATACATTCTGATGTTTACTCAAGAGAATCCCTTTGAATAACTTCATTGTTATTCACTTGATTTTATGACACTACCGAATATGTTTTAGTAAGCTTTTTAATGAATATGTTCATTGTTTCGAATAATATTTTAGTAATTTCCTGTTACCGTTTTAGATCCATTACTACCGCAAGTTGTAGCATTTATTCAAGAATTCTCCGATTTTCTGGAGATTTTGGCCCATTGTTCTCGTAAAACCGATGTCACTTGGTGGCCTCATTTATTCATTACCATCGGAAGGAAACCAAAAGATCTATTTGAACTGTGTTTGGAAAATAATAAACTGGAAACAGCTGCTTCTTTTTTAATTCTTCTTCAAACATCGGAACCTCTTTCTGTTAGTTGGGAGGTAATGTTGTCACAAACTATTTCGTCCGCTTCTACTTATCTTATATGTTGTAACCATAACTCTGCAACACATCTTTATACCAGTTTGTTATTCATTTAACGTTTAATTGTTAACTTTAATCCATACATTCTAATATCGATTTCGCAAAGCATTGGTTTTATTTTCTCACAATGGTCGTTCCGTATAAGTATCGAATTTCTTCGTACGAAAGGGAAATGACTATCATTCGTAAAAGTCTGTTTTTCTCGTTGATATTCAGAGTTGACTCTGATCAACCTTTATTCATACCACCAAGGAGGTCTCATTGCCTGTGGTTACAAGTTTTATATTTT